TCATTATTATTATTTGCTTGTTTATTTTACATACATACATGCTGGACCTGAAGGTGTTTTAGAATGTATTTCCAAGGACTAAAAATCCTTCACTAGCATAAGTCAGAATGGAGACTTGAGTGCACAGCTATTAACCTTTTTTGGATTCTCACATCATGCTCCTTAAGAGACTTGACTTTTGGAAAATGAATTCCCTTATGCTCATTATTTCAGTCTCTTTTCTTAACTTGCTTTCCAGCAGGTAGCTGCACAGGGGTAGCCAAAAATATCCCTACAAAGTTAAGGAAAACAATCCTACCAGAATGCAGGGAAATAAGATTAAATCCTGTTGTTAGCCAATTAGTAATTCCAAAGGGAGGTTTTGGACTTAGCCATCAGCCACGTGGAGATATTAACGTTCTGAGATCTGTAAGAGGGACTCTGGAAGCACAAACTCTAAAGGTGACTAATCAAGTTATTTCACTTACCCTTCTAGAGTTATGACATTCAGATTTTTGTAGATTTCAGAGTTTATTTTCATTGGAAACCACTCCAAATATGTAATCAATCATGTAAAGTTGGAAATGACCTTGAAAAAGTCTTTGCCCTTAGGGTTCTTTAGCTCCTGTCCTAAAGGATGAGTCCAGGTCCTTGCCAGACTATTGACTGTTAACACTTCTGTGTGGACAATTTCCTGAAAATACACACAGAAGTGGAGTCCAGCCATCGCCCAAAGAGAAACTCTCTCTCACAAATTTTAAGCTCAAATTAGGTTATTAACCAGTCTTCAACACAGAAGCTTTCTTCTTAGCTTACTGAAGGATTGAGTCTTTTAAAGTAATACCTTACATGAGCAGCAAGTAGGTTTTAACTCTAAATATCCCAGTATGAACCACAGTTACGCCCTGTATCATATCTGCAAGAAAGAATTAAAGGCACTTTTTTCTTATGAGGAAGATCTGTTGCTAACATCTGTTGCCATTCTTCCTCTTGTTGCTTGAGGAAGATTGTCACTGAACTAGCATCTGTGCCAATTTTCCTCTATTTTATGTGGGATGCTGCTGCAGCATGGCCTGATGACTGGTGCTAGGTCCACACCAGGGATCCGAATCTGCAAACCCCAGGCCACCGAAGTGGAGTGCATGAACTTCACCACCACGCCACCAAGCCAGCCCCTAAAGACACTTTTTTGAGAGCGTTTGTTTTCTACCTCTCATCCTTTGATTTTATAGACAGTACCTGTCAATGAATGATACAGAATATGGTTTAAAAAGATCTAAGACAACTGATATTTCTTCAAAACCTTACCATAAACATTATTGTCAAGATTATACGACAGAGGAATGGTCTTTAGTTAGATGAAACTCCAGAATTAAATGGTATAAAACAAAGCTAAGTCTAACTTTTTGTCTCTTCCCATTTTTCTTTTTTCAAAATGAATAAAGATTTTAATGTTATAAAATGTCACTTATCCACTAACAAAAACTAAGCAATGTAAAAATAAAAAGAAAGTCAGTGTTAATATTTTAGGACATCCTTCCAAGTATCTATGTAAATACATATATATGGACAGGCAATTAAACAATTTTATAAAAATGGTATTACACCAAATATATGTTTCTATAAAGTGTGGTTTATCAATATAGCATAAACATTTATATAGAAATTTCCACTAAACATGATTTCAATATAGTCATGCACCACTTAATGAAGATATATTCTGATAACTGTGTTGGCAATTTCATCATCGTGTGAACATCGTAGATTGCAGTGACACAAACCTAGATGGCACAGCCCACTACACGCCTAGGCTGTATGGCACTAATCTTATGGGACCACAGTTGTATATGCAGTCCATCATCTACCGAAATGTTGTTATATGGTGCATAACTGTAAATATGTAGTATTTCATTCAAAACACTATTCAAAATATTCAAATTATGGATATAAGTAATTTATTTAACCACACCTATGTTATTGGTAATTTTGATTACTTTCAAGTTTTTCATATTTTAAGGAATCTACAACGATCATCCTTGGATCATCTTTGCTCACCTTGTCTGATTATCTTCTCCCAATAAATACCAAGACGTAGGATGGCTGAGTCAAAGGAGACCCACATTTAAAATTATCTATGTGTTGCCAAACTGCCCTCCAGAAAGACCACACCATTCACATTTCCTCTATGAATGCAAGACAGTGTTCATTTTCCCCTTAACCTTAGCTCATTTTTCATTGTATTTTTTTAAAATAATAAATGCAAGCCTACAATTATCAGTAGGCTATCTGCCTTCCCGCCATGGCAGAGGAAGAATAAGCATTATGCTTACAGTATTTTATAGTCATAAACTGCACGTGGCCTTAAGCTGAAATTGAACTTCTTGGCTCAGTACTATGAAAAAGAAAATAATGGCATCAATTAGACCAAAAACAAAAGTTGTTATACTTGGTGAGCATTCCATATCTCTTTAAATAAGCAACTATGAATAACCCTAATCATAAGACAACTCAGCTACTTAGGGTTTTCTGTGGAACTAATGCCTCCTGGCGGGTTTATGTAATGTAGGTCTGCCCAAAATTAGACAACCTACTGACGCCATCCTGAGCCTCCTTTGTGGATGAGGAAGATCATTGGGAACATCCGCCCTTTAAATTGTTCAAGCTCAAATAAATTTTCCTATGCTTTATGGATTAGAACTCAGTGTACTTAGCAGAAATTTGTGAATGGGCGTGAGCGGATTCAAAGCTCTGACTCAAAGTCCTGTCTTTGAGAAAAGTTCTGGCCCTGCTAACAGGCACCCCTGGTAGGCCTCCGTAATGGTGTAGAATGGTTCTGTCTGGCCATCAACACCAGCTGGCCTCCTAAATGCTCACATGGAGAAGTAAGTTCTGCTACCTGACCTCCTGGCATTTTAAGCATATGGCTGTCTGTAATCAGCAACTGAGAATCTTAGTATTATTTGCACTGATTGAGAAGAGTCAACACAGACTTGACTGAAAACTTAGCATCTGCCCAAAAAAACACCCTCTGACCCACAGGTGAGAGCACCCACACATGATATGAAATATAGAAGGGATTCATTCTTCTATATGTTATTAGGAAGCTGGGAGGCTAGTTTTAATTATCTTAGCCCTGCCTTTGCTGAGTCAAGATTTAATGTTACACAGAAGCAATATTACAAATATCCATACAAAGTACGATTTATGCCTTTTGGAAGGTTGTAGCTGAAGATGTTGCCTGTCATATTACGTATGTCACATGGGGAGACTCAGACCTAAAAGTGAGATAAATAGATCATCTCAGGTGTCTAGTACATTTAGCTCCTCTGTTCGCTTTACTGGTCACTCTCCTTTAAAATATTTTTTCTTTGTATTTTAACATCGTAAGCTCCTTTAAGTCATTTTTTGAAGTAGAGAGATAGCGAGTGCCAGAAATGGAGGGACTTTAACTGTTTTTTTTGCCTTATATTCCTGGTACCTAGAACAGTGTGTGGCCTGTAGTTTGCAGTCAATAAATGTGTTTAACAAATAACTAGAGAATGAGTGATTAAAGAAATATACACATACATATACACACACACACACAAATAGAAAAGGTGTGTTGTGCATTGATACTCATTTCATTAGCAATAATCCAAAGGTCAAGAAAGTTTTTGTGTATAATCTCCTCATTCATTCAATAAATCTTCATTGCCCATCTACCACATTCCCAAACCCCTCTGACACAGCTGTTGCTCTTGAGGAATTCATAAATTTACTGGGGTGAGCCAAGGGATGTTCAGATAATCATGGAGCATGTAATGAGTACAATGGTAAGAGGTGTGTGCAGATATCCACGAACCTGAGGGGAGGGCATCTGACCAGCTTGGAATACAGGGATAGGTGCTAGGGAGTAGGGACTGTTATTATGAAAAGGATTGTGGCCAAGGTGAGCCTTCAAGGATGAGCAGGAGTCAGCAGGGGCCGGGGGGAGACAGGGGAAGGCATGACTCCAGGAGTGCCAAGGGCAGAGAAAGGAGCAGAGGAAACCAGCAGGCAGGGGGTAAGGAACTAGAAGGAGCTGGAAGAGGCTGTGGCACCAAGTAAAGGCTAGGAAGTGGGGGCTGAAGCAGTAGGGAGTCAGAAGCCTGGCATACTCCGAGAAGACTGCAACTGATCCTCTCAGAAATAGGGAGCTTTCCAGTGGGTATAAATTGGTAAGTGGCCTGGTTAGATCTGCACCTTACATGGGTCAACCCTAATGGCTGGGTGGAACTTGGACTCGAGGGAGACCCGACTCAGGTCAGCAGGACCAGTTAGCCCAGGTGAGAGTTGATAAGAACCCGGAATGACACATGGTTACAGGAATAGAGAAATACAAAGGAGAAATATTTTGCAGAAAATTGTGTACATTAATTCTATATTCTATATTTTATAGTTACTAGTATTTCTATTCTATACTTCATTATTACTAGTATTCTCAGATAACCGCTAAGGATCTCTTGTTTTTCTTTTTATTTCCTACTACAGGATACTTTGTTCCAAATGTTTTTATGATAATTCTTGATGCAAAAAATAGAAAGTAATAACTGTTAAAGTTGTCATGACAAAGTACAGCCACTTCCCCGCTTGCTTAGAGAGAGCAGCAGACAAGAAAAACGTAATGCTGACCTTGCTAAATTCACCTCCGGGGGAATACACATCTTTAGATAAGACAGTATGCATTGGCAATATTTAAAACTTATTTGTAAGGTTTATTTAATCCTATCACAGCAATGGAAATGACTTTAAGGTCAACACATAGACTTACCAAATACCTACTCCTAAATTAAGATGAAACTCTAAATCATCTTTAAAATATGTTTTAGAATATGACATAGAATATAGACATAATACTTTTAAAATGACACTCTCCCTGCCAGCAATCTTCCAAAAAAAGTATTCTTGCCAGCCATTTTTTTCTCTTCTCCAGAGTGATGATAAGATAGTTCATAATTCAACCCTGTTTTTCACAGCTGTCACCAACATCTGAGTGACATTACCTTATGCACAATGAGCTCATGAGTGCCATCTGGAAGAGTCCTACCATCTTCCTGCATCAGGGGGACGAAAGAGAAACCAAACAACTTCTTCTCTCCTTTCTCTTTTGCTGTGGGACAAAAAAGAAAAAGAATTACTTGTTTAAGCATGTGCACAAGCTTACATACCTGTGTTTAGATACAAAGATTGTCAAGAAGCATGATCATCAAAAAATATAACCCACCCTCACCAGCTCCTTTTACACAACAGAGAGCAGCCTTTATGATGGGACCTCTGTCTACAGTAGCCACCCTCCAACCCCATAGTCCTGCCCTGTAATTTTCAAGTTACATTCCTTGACTAATTGTTTTCATGGAACTCACTATGTGAAAGTATGTTTAAAAAATTTGTGCATTGCCTGTTTCTTCTCCTCACATGCCACCCTCCACCCCTGGATGTAAGCACCATCAAGGGCAAGATTGTTGTCTGTTTTATGCTTGGTAGTTCAAAGAGTGCCAAGAACATAGTAGGTTCTCAGTAAACATATGTTAAATAAGTGAACAAGTGAATGAATGAATGTGAAATGCAATGTTTAGCTTACTACTCATGGAAAGGGAAAGGAAACTTGGTAGCCTCCAAGCCCTGTGGAATCTACCTCCTTGGAATAAGTTAGGCATGCTGAAAAACAAAATAAATGGCAACCCATAGTTTGATAAGGACTTGATGCAGTAGTATTCTGGAAGCCAGAAATGAGGCAAGGAGGTTTTCAGATGCCTAATTAAGTTACAATGGATAGAAATGTCAAGGATCCTTGGCAACTATTTGCAGATAAGGAAATTGAGGTCACACAGTGGTAGTTAGGTAACTTGCTCCTGATCTCTTGAGTACCATTCCAATTCTTTCCACCAAACTGCCTTTTCTCCAAAAACAGAGAAAGCATTAAAAGAACCTGGTCTCTTCAACTTGACTCTCCCCTTGTATTTAGATACGCAGGGAGGAGTCCTCCAGGGCCCACAGCCTATTATGGGCTGCATGGTTATTCTTTCCCACACAAGTGTGGAGTGTTATACTTGATAGAAACGTCCAGCTTTGGGACGCAGTAAGACCTGCACTAGAGGAGTCAGACATGGTGATCTTGAACATCAGACAAGAGGCTTTAGAAACACATCATCCCCTTACAATTGATTCTGGCATTTAACCGCAAGGCAGTGGAGCCCCATGCCAAGAATAGTAATTTTGGCTGGCTGGCTTTGGCTCCTAGTATGAGGACATCCCTGAAAATGTGATTATAGCAAAGAATTTTCTTTTAAAGTCATTAATTTCAACCCCAGAGAGAAACTGGGAAAATATTGGTGTTCTTTAAAGTTAAGCGAAAATCACAGCAAAAATCTCTGGGAAGAGTTTCTACATCAGTGAGAGTGCTGTGCTGCGTATAGAAGTTATGATTTCTGGGAGAAGACTTATTTGGAAATAATTTCCTAAGTTTATTTGACTTTTTTGTATTCAATTCAAAAAGACAAGAAACAAAGCAACAGTTTCCCCAAATTTGCCTTCTGTTATAAATTAAAAATAAATACCGAACAAAGTTTGAAGTACATGGCCTTCTGTCTTGAGCTATTAGATCAGGATTAATAAAGTGAATGAACTGTTCCAGACAGTATGCATAATAAGATCCCTGTTTATTAGTAAAAACCCTAAATTTATGGATTCTACCTCCTAACTTCCTAATTTATTCTTTCTAGTGCCGCAACTCCAACAAATGTGCCCCCTGTGACCTCCAATTTATTGACCCACTCCTCCTTCCCCCTCTGCTCTCACTTCCCATTTCTATGTTCTATCATTCTAGCCACTTCCTCTAAAACACCCGAGACCCCTTACTCCTCCATACTTCCATTATAACACTGCGACCTGGTTAAATCCAACTTGCAGCTTATTCTATGCCTACAACAGACTAATCTCACATTAATTAACGCACACTAACCACAAAGGGGCCCTTAGCTGGGCAAACTTTCTACATTTACCTAATCAACTTACTTTTCCACTTTTCTAGACAATTATTTCATCCATTCCACTCCATTCTCAAGCCTCCAATACACTGGCACTTTCCTCACTCTCAGCTGATGTAGTGAGAGCCCAGCATCCACCTATTAACCCACGGCATCTGTGCCCTCCTGTGCTATGCCTCAACCGCCCTACCTAAGGCTTAACCTTGAGCACTGGAACCCACACTCCTTCCCTGGCTCAATGTCCTGTAACCCACTGTTCCATAACAGCTACTATCCCATTTCTCTGCTCTCTTGTATTCTTTATAGCAAACTTTCTCAAAAGAATTATCTATAACCACTGCCTGACCTCCCTTTCCTCCATGTCACTCCTGGACTCACTCCAGCCAGGCTTTCATCACCACAAATCCACTAAAATCACTTGTCAGGTTCAATGACTTCCATGAAGCCAAATCAGGTGATCATTTCTCTGCCCTCATCTTATTTGATTTATCATTGGCACCTGACACATCTGATCAATCTCCTCTTGAAAAACTTTCTTCATTTAGCCTCCTGGATTCTCTTTCAACCTCACTGGCTATTCCTTCTTAATTTCATTAATGGCTCCCTCTCATTCTCTCAAGATCTAAATGTGGAAGTGTCCCCAGGGATCATCCTTGGACTCTTTGCTATCTAAACTCACTACTTGGAAATCTCATTCAGTCTCACAGGTTTGAAAATCATCGATGCATTAGTAATATGTTAGAGCTGGCCTGTACGGGCTCACAAGAACAGACAGCATGGCTTCTTTTCCCAACTCCAAGGTCAGTGACGTCAAGTTAGTAGCTTGAAATTGTCTTGGTGGGAGTATTTACTCCATGGAAATCAGCAAACAGTATAATTCAGGGCTCCTCTCGCCCCTCTCCACCACCCTGAGCTGCTTATTAAATATTTACAGAACACCACTGAACTATCTGTTCTCATTCTCAAGTTTAACTCACCAGCTTGGATCTCTTTCAACTGTCTATTTGACATCTTGAATGTCTAACAGACTTCTCAGATTTAACATGTCTAAAATGGAATGTTTGATTTTTCGCTCTCCAAACAGATTCCTGCTGTTGTCTTCCACACTTCATTAAATGACCACTTCATTCTCAGGCCAAAATCTTAGGCTCATCATTACTTTTCTCCTTCTTTCATACCTGCTTTGTCAATAAATCTGTTAATAAAAGAATCAAACCACTACCATCCTAATGCAAACCACTTTAATCTCTCATGTGGAGGACTGCAAAAGCCTCCTGAATGGTCTTTCCGGGCCCACCTGGCCCAATCTACAGCCTGTTTTCCATACAGCAGCCAGACTTCCCTTCAATCTGAATCCTCTAATGACTCTCCTCACTCCAAGTAAAATCCTAAGTCCTCTACATGACCTAAAAGACAAAATGGGATGGGGCTCCCCTGCCACCTCTTTGGCCTAATCTCCAAACTCACTCACTTGCTCAGTTGGGCCACCTTGCTATTCCTTGAAAATGCCAACCATGTTTCAACCTCAAGTGTTTTGTACTTACTGTTCTCTCTGCCTGCAATATTCTCTCCCTAGATACCCAAGGGCTCATGCCCTTACTTCTTTTAGGTTGTTGCTGACTGACACATCTCCTTACCAGGCAGGTCTTTCTTGACTGCCCTATGTAAAATAGCAACACAGCACCATCGTTTTCTAGGACCTAACCTCAGTTTAGTCTTCTTCCCTGCACTTATCACTACCTTATCTAGTACGTGTTTATTTGATCACTTCTCACCTGTCTTACCTCTTCTAAAACGACAGCTCTATGAGAGGAGGTATTTTGTTGTGTTTACTGAGGTATCTCCAATGCCCAGTAAAGTGCCTAGTATACAATAGGTGTTTAATAAATATTTGTTTCATGAATAAATAACATTTTTTGAATATACACACACACAAATATTTCCATGTGATAAATGATTACATTGATTATTTGTAGTTTATGGGATTACAGAAATTTTTTTTTCTTCCTTATGCTTTGCTGTTTCTTCTGAATTTTAACAATGAACATTTAAAAGAAAAAAAAATATAACCCTGTGAAAAACATTTGAAGTACAGTATACAAGAGGGCAGAGATCTAAGAGGTTTTACTGAAAATAGCCTTTATTTTATTTTCCAAGTTCTGAATTATAATTTCCTCCAAATGCTCTTTCTCCCCTTCCCCTTTGTTTCACCTTTATTTTCCTCTTTTTCTTACCTTAAAGCTCAAAGCTTGTATTAAGCCCAAATGAGAATTTATAAAAAAGATTGGTGGAAGGACAGATATGGCACCCTTCCAAGTCCTTTATGTTTTGCCACTTCAAGTCCTACCCATGAACCACTTCTGGGAATTTGGAAGAATGGTGAGACCCTGCTAGCCATCTGCCTACCTTCTGAAACATCTACAAAAGCATAATTTATAGAGGTGTCTGAGCCAATTCCAAAACATGCCACAGTCCGGCAACAAAGTCCTTCTTCTCTCCCTGCATCTTGGGTGAATCACACAGCACTCAGGTGAAGTCACCACATATCTATTGGGAATGCCCCCATCCCTTCCAGGCTAGAGAGGAGCCTGCTGCTTCTCCAAGAGTGTGATTCTTCTGTATCTCTTGCCTCGTTATACAGCTCCTGAAGCAAGATTCACCAGAACCTTCTCCGGTCACAATGTACACTTCTGGTTGTATCTAAGATAGGCTTCAGGGACACAGGGAATATCAGAAGATCCCTGGACTGCGGGTTGGTGAAGACAGGGAGTGTGGGTTTGAGAGGGTGGCAATGAGTACAAAAGAATTAAAATAGAGACAACAAGAAATTACAACTTTATGGGCAGTAACGTCCATATGGACAAATCCTACAACATCCTTATGTCCTGGTTTTTTAGGTGTTAAATGAGGTAATTACTTCACGCCATCTCTAAGGCCTATTCAGGCTGACATTACTTGATTCTCATTTGAATACTGTCAGACTGTATGGTGATGCAGATATATGCAAATAAGATATAAATCTGAGCCAATCAGCGGCTTTCCTAGTGAACTCACATGCCCAGAAAAGTCCTCATGAGTTCCCCTGAACTGTCTGAGAGCTGGATCAGCTCTTGGCTAGAGAGACAGCAGATAGGCTGGGACTGCCTAAGGTCATCTGAGCCAGTCTAGTTTTCAGTGCTGTCTCTTCCCTTTCTGTCTAATCTTTCTAGACTGTGAAACCAATGAAGTGACTTTTCTAAAGGTTGGCACCTGGGCTAACAACTGTTGCCAATCTTCCTTTTTTATTTCCTGCTTTATCTCCCCAAACCCCCCGTGTACACAGTTGTACATCTTAGTTGCAGGTCCTTCTGGTTGTGGGAAGTGGGACGCCGCCTCAACGTGGCCTGACGAGTGGTGCCATGTCCGCGCCCAGGATCCGAACCCTGCGCCGCCGCAGCAGAGCGCGTGAACTTAACCACTCGGCCACGGAGCCGGGCCCCTGAACTGACTTTTATGAAAGTGATCATTTAAGAAGAACCCTGTAGATTTCCAGAGGGATTTTTTTTCCTCCTTCTCCTTCTTCGATGTTTCAGAGAAGTTATGGGTTCTTTGAGAAGAAGTGAGCCCAGTCACCCAACAGGACTCCCCTTGCCTTCATTTCTCCCTCATGGAGGTCTCTGTTTGTCACACGTTTTCTACAGATAAGCCCACACTGTCATGACAGCTCAACAAGCACACAATCCCAACACAACAAAGCCAGGTAGCCAACCCCACAAAACACTTACTGGAACAATGCCGAAACTCAAAGCGGATATGCGCACCCCTGAATTTATCCACAGGAATGGGAAGTTTCAGCAGTTCGGACCACCTGGGACTGTTGTTATGATAAAGCACAAAGGAGTGGTACTCACTAGCTGGTGGCTCTCCAGAGCCGAAGGAGATATAATCCTAACAAAGAAACCAAACAGGTTAAAGAGAGCTTCATTTAAAGATTATTTTGAAAGCAGGAGAGAAATCACTCTGCTATATCTGCCTGTTCCCCAAATAGCACTTCATGTGAAAGCGCTTGGTCCTTAGCAGCGCTCCTTCTGCACTTGCTTCTGCTAGTGGCTGTGTCTGTTTAATTCTGATGCTGGTCTCCCAGGGCCTACTGTGCCATGGGTGGAGCTCAGTGATGGGACTGAGATGGGCAACTGCATGCCCAATTAGGGGTTCAACTACACAGCAAAGTTCTCGACCTGCTGCCGACAAAGCACATTCTGTGCCTCACTGGGAGACTCACAGAGCCCTGGGGCTCACGTGAAACACTTCTTCCAGAAAGAAACCTGCTATACCACCCAATTAGTAATACCTCAATCTGCATGCCCTATTTTGGTCAAAACGAAAATATGCAGGATTAAATGTGTTTTTGTTGTTGTTTTTACCAATTCCCAAGGACAAAGTGTTTATCACCAAAACTATGACAGATGAAAAGAAAAAAGTCAAATGGCATAAGAAAATACTGCATTTAAAGAATACTGCTAAGAAGAAGTTGTTGACACAAATTAAACTATAAGAGCCTTTTTGTTTTTCTACTTTCCTTTCTGAAAGGCATCTTAATGATTTTTCTAAAAAAGGAAAACTACATAGGGGTGGAAAAGAAAAATAAGATTGAAAACCTTGCAAGTCAGAAATTAACTGATAGCATCAAAGATGAACCCAAAGCGATGATGTGGAATTGTACCGAAAAGTAACCAGCATTAACGTACCTTCAAGGTCTGCCCACCACTCTCTACAATGAACATTGTAACTTCCACATTTCTAGCCACGCTCTTCCCTCCTTTTTCAAATTCTCCTCTTTCTATAGTGATGTATAAGTCATTCCTCATTTCACCTAGTAGGAGAGGAAAATTAAAACCATGTTATATATACTAGGAAGCATAATAAAGGACTCTATCAAGAAAAACTTCAGTTCATAAAATATACTGTTTATAGCATATACATATAAAAGTATAAATATAATATATTGTACTTTTATAAAAGGGTCCCACCCTCACTGCCAATATCCAAAAAAAGTAAAGGCCAGCTTCTGCTAGTATGAATTAGCAATACTGAAAATGTGCATTTAGGAGGTGAATACCGGGTTGAGTAGGAAGGTGTTGTCAGGTTTCACCATTTTCCAATATTTCCCTCATTTCATTTATAAGGTGTGATTACAAAATGACAGCTTAGCAGGGGTGGCTCAAAGAGACCAGTTTTAATATTTTACAGTCACAGCACTTAGAGTAGAAGAAATACCTATATGGAATAAAATGATAGGACTGCAAAGGGTACAGTTACAATTTAAACCTTTTCCAAATTTCATGGACAAAATGATCTCACTGCTGGAAAAAGCCAGATTAGTGCTTTATGAATACACATGTAGAATAATTCAGTCATACAGACAAACTTGGCTTCACATTTCTTACCATGAAGCTATAAAACAAATGGGAAAGGCCCTGGACTCAAACAGACATATTCTATGCACACGTATACCACCTATTTTTTCTCCATTGGTTATTTATAAAACTTGAATGCTTTCTAATCTTGCCCCTTTCTTATTACTGCAAGAAAAAAGAGAAATTTGATGTCAACTAGCAAACGCAGGCAAACACCCCGACAGTGCGTCTGCTGCAAGAATTAAGTTACAGGTAAGTGGTGAGTGGATAGGGAAGTGAGAAGTAAGTAAGCAAAGTGCTACTAGAAAGTTTTTGAAGGTAAATGTTGGTGAGGTTGGCATGGCTAAATTTACTTTTACTTAACATAGCTTTCAAACATTTGAAGAATCAAAAGCAATACTCTTTTTTTCTAACAAAAAACCTCCCCATAAGAAAGCAAATTAGTGGGAAGAACAATAACTGCACAAATATGCCCACAACTGGGAGATTTATAAAACTTCCTGACCAAAGTGTGTTCAAGAAAGTACCCTGGCTTTCAAAACCACGGGGGAATACCAGTGTGCCTGGTCACCTTCCTCCATAAAGACCAACTCTTTATGAAGGCATCATTCGTGAATGACCTGGGCTGACCAGGAAACAGATGGGCCACAAAATAGAGAAATTGAGTAAGTCCTAAAAAGGACGAAATATTAACTACCCTTTACAAAGAGTATAGAAAAAATACATTAATGGAAACAACTGATACAGTGGTCTCTGTCTTACAAATTTCTAGTACTCTCATACAGCCCATGCAAATCAACTTGGGAAGGCAATGAACTTGGAGTTCCAAGAGAAAAGCAACATATTTCAGCATATTGAAAATTATATTTGTAGGCTTTGAAAGTTTTTTGTTTTAATCATCTCCATTTTAAAAAAAAAATTTTAGAGAATGGCCCAGTAACTTCCACAAGATTGCTAGGTTTTTTACAAGCCAGTTCATTTTACTACTATATATATTTACCACTACACACACACACATTCTTAATGCTATTTATTTTAACACTTCCATTATAGAATGAATAATCAACTCAGACACTTTGTCCTCTGAACCAATCAATTTCAACTCAAATTAGGTCTGGTACGCTAATGGTCTGCACATGTGCTATTTGAACAACATGTTTGGGAGGAAATTCTTGACAATAGTTTTCCCACTAACAGATCTGGCAGGTAAAAAACCACACACAAATCAAGGTACTTGAGAGCAAAAGATGTTAGTTAACAATAGCAAAATTCCTTTGCTTCTTCGAGTAGGTGACACATAATGAGTAGCTCTGCTTACAAATAGACTATAAAACAAACACTGATTAATGGGAAGTATAGCTCCAGGGGTTTTTTACCTTAGAAATTTCCCATCATGAGTAATTAGCTTGTCCAAACCACATGGGGACTAACTGTCCTGCAAAACGAAGAGTAAATATTTCTTGGGAGGGGGACTTCCACTTTCATCTGCTGGAAGGACAGGGCAACTGTGACTTCAGCAAAGGCAAGAAAGGATGAGGGAGGTTTCCAAGGCAACCTGTTTCCTGTCTGCAGGCTAGGACCAAAGAAGGATAGGGGTGGGGGAAGAGTAACGTACTGGCAGCACCATGAAATTCTTCCTCCATGTATTCATTCAGCAAATATATCTTGAGCACCTACTATGTGCTGGAGATTATTCTAGGCCCCGTAGAGTCAGCAGTGAACAAAGCAAAAATCCCTTCTCCACAGAGTTTCAGTTCTAGTCATGGGCGGTCTTGAATATAGAACTAAAATATATAGCAAGTTGAACAATAAGTGCTGTGAATAAAAGTAAGACACAGAAGGGGGATAAAGAATGTTGACCAGGGGCATGGGGTGTTATATGAGAGAAGCCCCACTGAGAAGATGAGAGATCTGAGTGTTTTGACAAAGGAGCAAGGTTAAAAATGGCATTAGCCTACTAAGCCAATCCTTAGAGCCTGTTTAGCTTATAACTTAGTTGGAGTCTTCTATCTCTCCTGAATTCAGAAGAGATTCTGAATTCAAATAGGCCTGAAGGATGTAGGGTCACAGGAAGATTGGAATAATAAGATCTGGATTCAAGTCTTTCTTAGCTACTGTCTACTCCATGTGATATTAGTCTAGACCGAGTAATATAAACCTCTGGGCCTCAAGTTTTGGTGTTATTAAAATGGGGTAGGGATGGAGAGGTGGTAGGAGCAACAAGACCACTTTGTTATGTTATGCTGTTTCTATGACTTACAAAAGAACTTCTGGAATATAACACATTCATAAATTAGAACACCTTACACATCTATGTTAACTTTCTGTTCCTTAACCATCACTATCTCTGTAACCCCTTTGTCTTTTGCAAACCTATTAGACAAAAATAAGATTTCTTTGAAAAGAGAACACATGACAAGAAGAACATTTCTTCTGGATGACATTCTACATATGTCTCTCCAGGAATTTTGCAGTTTTCTGTGTTCCAAAACTACAAGGTGCCATGTTTTGCCAAAATATGCAGAAGGATAAAGTTGAAACAAGTGCTAATTAAAATCAATACACTTGAGGTGGGTTCTGGAGAAAACTAATAAGCCCAAAGGTGTTAAGAAAGCATCTTGGGTAATTAAGAGAGAAACCATAAAGTGAGTATGAAATGGATCCATAGCACCAGTGTGAAAAGCTACTTTCCCGACAATGTTTATTAACACCTTTCACTTCTCAAACGTACTACCCTGCAAATTTGATGTGCACGACACTTTGCTCTGGTTAAGCAGACCCACTGGCTGGGAAGCCTTTACACACGTGAAGGCTTCTCAAAATATTACTGTAGATGAGATAAACATAAGGCCACAACACTAGGAACAAATTCAAGAGTTAAGTGACTGCAGCCAAATGGGGTCAACTTATGGCTTGACCTTAACTGGCTTGACTTTAACAGGCAAAAGGTCTCCATTAGTAGCTGAACACCTTGATCCTTGCTTCTATCCTCTGAATGCTTTGGATCAAGGCACAGAGTGCATGCTCAACACATCAAGTAAACCATTGCACCCAGCCGCAGGGGCTAGCCCAGTGCCTTATCTGTGCTGTATATTTGTTAATATTTATGGAACTAGAAAAGAAAATTTCTTGTCCTTCAGTTAAAAACAAATCAACATGTGCAAAAGACTACGGGTTTTTTGTGAACTTAGATGATGACGATGACGATGACAGTAGTAACAGATGACAGTAGTATAGTAGTTAGGTACTTTGCCAAGTGCTACAAGTAAAACATCTCATCTTCACATCAACTTTATGAGAAGACCTTATCATTTCCATCTTACAGATGAGGAAACTGAAGTGTAGAAATTAAGAAATGTGTCCAACATATTAACAATATATGTTAAAATAAAATCATATTTTTTCAGTATGAAAAAATGTAATTCAACAGGGTGAGAAAGGCCATCAAATAAGCTAGTGCAATTTAGCCTTTGTTATCAGAAGACCAGTGCCTTCAGTAATGAAGAATGTATTAGTTCTACTCTATTTCACATTGGTCGGACCAGTCTGGAAGTACTGATTTCAGTTTTAGGGACCATCTTGACAGGACAGAAACAGATAGAAACAATATCATCCAGACCATAAACAATATGGAGAAAGGACTCAGAACTCATCAGAGGAGGGATAATGGAGATAAGAGAGTTAACTGAATTTTAAAATGTTGAGGTTCCAAACAGAAAAACTCAACCCAATAGATAGAAGGTAGAGGGACACCAGTCCAAAATGAAAGAGGTCACTTTGAGAGATGACCTGATGATGTGTTCTTGGTCATAAATATCCAAGTATGAGCCAGAAAACTACCACCAGGGACTTGAGGAAGAAACTCACGCACTGGACACATGACTGGGCTAGAGGGCCCTTTATGTGGTGGCAGGCAGAATAATGACACCTCCTTACCTTCCCCCCGCAACAAAGATGTTCAGGTCCTAATCCTAGGAACCTGTAAATATGTTACTTTACATGACAAAAGAGCCTTTGCAGATATGATTAAGTTAAATATCTTGAGATGGGGAGATTTTCTTGAATTATCAGGGTGGGCTCAACATAATTACAAGAGTCCTTAACAAGAGGGAGGAGAAGGGTCAGAGACGTTGATGTGATGAGTGAAGTAGAGGTTGGAATATGTGGGGCCACGAGCCAAGGAGTGTAGGCAGTCTCCATAAGCTGGAAAAGGCAGGGAAATGGATTCTCCCTTAGGGCCATCAGAAGAAATGCAGCCCTCCAATAGCTTGATTTTAACCCAGGGAGATCTGTGCAAATTTCTCACTTCCAGAACTATAAGATAATACATTTATGTTGTTTTGAGCTATCTCATTTGTGGTGATTTGTTACAGTAGCCATAGGAAACTAATACAAGATGCCACCCACACCCAAGCTTCTATCATTCCATGACGCCTGCAAGGGGCGCAAGAGATGGGGATAAGATTCACAGGTAACTGGACATCGAAGCAGACCACAGACAGGGAAAATTTATGGGTGGGTTGAAAAGTTACCTTTGGATTTCTCACAGAGTACACTTCAGTAAAACCCCTCAATGTTTTCTCTAATTTCTGTCTGTTCTCGTTTTTATTTTGCTTTATTTTAGGGGAATACTATGAGATGTTTAGCTTTTTGGGGGGCAGTAGCTTTCTAATTTTTGTTTATGACTATTTAAGCAAGCAAGCGCAAATGATCCAATAGCACCAATGACAGGCTTACCAGAACAGTGTTGCACAGAGACAGGAGCAGGGATAGGCTGTGGCTCCCCGCTGCTCATCACACTCTAAGCCAAAGCATGAAGATCTGATAGGGCCAGTGGGGGCAAGTCCTACACCCTTGGACAGTGGGGCCTGTAAGCTTCATAATTTGTGAGGCACCAGCCCCTGCCCCAGTCTGACCTGGGGCTGGGATCCAATGTCAGCGTGACATGGTAGAACCACAACCTCCATCTCTCTTCAGTCACTGTGGCATCCATCGTTTGAAAGGCCACTATCCCCTCCACGGTCAGGAGGTTCTGCTCTGAGCTGAGTGGTTGCACCTATATGATGCAGAGGCCCATGACTTGGACTGGGGGGTGGTGAGCTTTGGTTAGATTTAGGATATATTTTTAAGTAAGATCAAATCATATCATATTTACTCCCACCTGGTTTCTCCAAAAGAAGGCTTATCTCAAGAAATTCCATCTGTTGATGTACATGTCTCTATCAGTAAGTGGTAAAGAATAATAATGCTTATATTACATATCTATAACATATTTCTCACTGCAGCCTTATAAAGCATTATACAGTCAACTTTGACCAAATAGAAATTTGACTTACCTCAACTACTGCCTAAAGACCAAAGGAAAAGGAGACTTACTCTGGATGATACTCTTTAAATAAATGAATAAATCTTGATATGTCTATCAAAGCTACTACTGCTGGCAGCCATTTGAAACACAGGCTCTGCTAATTGTTTTCAGTGAGTCTCTAGCCTCTACATCTCAACCCTTCTCTTCCCCTATCACCCCACCATTTTTACTTAATTTCTTTCAGGGTTAGGAACTTCAAAGATCTTGCTTATACTAAAAGTGAATGCACTGGAAGGTATTAATTAGGGGTTCCCTAACAAAGAGTGACAGTTTGACCAGTTGATATATGAGAACAAGTCTCCAGGGAACAGGGTACAGGTGGGGAAGATAGGGTAGGGAGACAATGAAGAAAGTAAAGACAATTTTGCCTAGAAAGAATCATAAACTCAGAGTAAGAACTGACTTTCAGGGAGGGGGTGGGGGACACAGCCTGACCTCCCACAACATTCCTGACACATCAGCCAGCTTTCCTCCAAAATGTCTAGTGGATGGAAACTCAGTCCTTCCTGAGTGTCAGCAATGGCTTGGGCCCTGCTTTGCACAGAGTCTGTTAAGACGTTCAGAGCTGGGCTGTCCAACCACTGCCACATGTGGCAACTGAGCACTTGAAATGTGACTTGGCTGAAAAGAGGTGTGCTGTAAATGCACAATACTAAGCAGTTTTCAAAGACTTAGGTTGAAATAGTGTCAAATAACTCAGTCAGAATTTTCTATAAGGGTTACCTATTGAAATGATAATATTTCGGATGTATTGGTTTAAATAAAATATATTGTTAAAGTGAATTTCATCTTCCTACGTTTTTTAAGTGGCTACTAGAAAAGTTAAAATTACATTTGTGGCTCGTATGATATTTCTATTGGAGAGCACTGATTGAAATATTTTTGCTGCTCCCTCTCTCAGGGGCTCAGAGACCAGACGAGGGAACTTTCTGCAGTTATTTGGTTTGTAGGTGGCAGTAATGGAGTTTCACAGAAAGTGACTTTTCTTCTTTGGAAATTGGATACCCTAAGAAATAAAGTGCTGAATGATGGACCGTGAGCAACAAGGAGGGTCCAGAGGACTTCTTGACAGCTCGAAAGCACGAGGGTAGATCTCCTTACACCAGGAGACATCAACTGCCAGTGCAACAGCCAGACCAAAGGGAGCATTTCTGTTTTCATGATTTTCTCATTCCAGAAAGTGTTTGGCATTGATGACATTCTGTGATCCTCAGGAAGAGTTTTGTGTACATTCCTGTCAGTGTCAGGACCACATATAATTCATTCAGCAGACAGGCAGACACTATGCTGATGAACTTGGTCCTGCTGGTATAAGCACGCGCCTCGCCCGCCCTGACCCCTATCAGAACACAAATGAACTCAGAAGGACAAGTCTAGAAAATGGAAAGAAAAAAAATCATGCTAGCAGAATGTCAGTACAACACCGGGATCAGAAATGTTCACATACATTTTCTCATTGAAGAATTCAGCTCAAGTTTTCATTAGAGCCACCATTGAGACTTAACTGACAAGTCAAAATTCTGAAAATAACAAAGAAAAACAAAACAATGACTGTGTGTTGGCCAATGTAAAAACTTCCATTGAGTTGTAAAGTTGCTTTCAGCTGTTTGAGAAATATACACATCTCTCCCTTCTCCATCTAATTTGGAAGATTAAGAAGTCAAAGAAGAAAAAGGAGAAAGGAAAAAGAAGGAGGTGCATTCAAAAACCTCTTGCAGTCCTCGACACTTCAGCCTTACGTCTGGGAGGTCTGATCCCCTGACAGTGTGGACCTTGCTACTCTAACACGGTGCGGGAAACGGACAGAAGCGAGCCTCATTCCACAGAAAGTTCATTTCCATCATTAAAGCCAAACAAGAGCTGCATGAGCACAGCACATCCCAGACAATTACTCAGCCGGTGAAGTGTCATGTTGCTTTATATTTTTCCATTTCTCAATGATACTGCCCAGAGACCAAGCTGAGCAATTCTTCTAGCAGCTGGCTACATTCTGTTCTAAAATATGTTTTTTATATTAGATTTGCCCATCAATTTGCTTCCCAGTGGGATGAAATTTTTTCTTTTTTTGTTAAAGAGGAAATACCAGTTATTTATAGCAACTCAAGGAAATAATGAACGGTTGCAAGAGCCACTGAATAACATGCCACCAAGTAAACAGTTCTATAAACAGTCATTTCCAACAACAGCAGCATGAGATGCTCCGGCATACTGGGTCCCTAAGCCAGGTCAGGTCATCTCAGGAAACTTTCCAGGCTGTTCTCTTATCCTTCCCTGCATGAACAAATTCCCATAAGGAGATGACAAAATGCTGCAACAGACAATGCCGGTCAGTGTCTGCTTCTTGTTAGGTCTTTGGTCACGGCAATCCTACCATCGGTCTCACAGCTGTGCCACGGGCCTTGTCAGATGCAACTTCTTGAGCTTGCCTCTACACACGGGATTTAAACAGTGATTTAGAGGATCTTGTTTCCAAAAATACCGTCAACAATCTGGGACTATTTCATTTGGTCTTTCTATTTTTTTTTTTTTTTGGCTGTGGACGGTGGGATGTGGGGGCACTGACAAATATTACCACTTGGCATTTACTTTAACAGTGTGACTCTCCTTAACCTCTACCTTCTCCACTTAGAAACAAATACTTTTCTGCAGTATTTTTTGGTTGTTAAGAGAGATCTGAATTATATATACAAATAGAGATAGGAAAGGTGTAGAAATACATGTGGCATTTGCACATGGCTGTTTATGTACATATACATATCTCAGGTGGAAAAATCCTTCAAGAAAGGCTAACTATTGCTCAATAACTATTCTTATAAAAACCTGTAAGGATATCCCCTCAGTGACCTCACTAGCATCTTCCTCCAAAGGGTAAAGTATTTCCTGTATACTACTTCAATTTTCCTTCTTATCATGTCATAATGTAACGTAGCCATGGCCCCCACAAGTTACCCACCCTAATATAATCAAAACATAAAGATTTTTTTTTAAAAACTTTTGCTTATTTATTATCACACACCTCATTTCATCCTTCAGGATGGCCCATTTGAACTCTTTGAAGTTGATAATTTGAAAAATTTCTCAGATGTTGAAAACAGACAAAATACTCATATTTCATCATTTGGTTCATCCCAAGTCACTTACCAGGCATAATAATATTAGAAAAACCCAACTTCCTCGTTATGGACACTCCATGAGAAAACACTGATGAGTATTCTCTTCTGATTTGTTCAATATCTCCGTGTAATAGTTGTAGGGAAACTGCTAAACCTAAAGTAAATGAGACATACCAGAGTTAAAAACAGAAGAACAGACATAGCATGAACCAAAACTGAACTTGTTCAACAAGCCCAAATCTCTGGTATCACGTTTCAAGCTAAGGGTTAAGAGTCAGACAAAATCAACAGATTCTACAGGAATAATATCTAGATGACACCTTTCCAACTTGACCACCTGAGTTTTCCATTTATAAGGAGGTTTAGAGCAACTGGAAAAAACTTGAGCAGAACACCATGAAGAGGAAATCTGAGTTCTAGCCCTGACACCCTCTTGTCCAACCCCTGCCAGATGGAAATGTCCCTGCACCAACACTCATTCCAGAAACTGCCAGTGGCTACCTGGCCTAGAAGACATTGATCCCAAAATGGGAGTTTTAATTTTTTTTTTAAAACTCTATGAGGTCTACAAATAATTACTTACCAAATATCATAAAGATGATCACAAATCTAAAGACATAATTCAAAAATTTTAAGGATATTTATATAGATTTTCTTAAAACTTAAGTAACAAAGGTGATTCTAATGCAACCAAGATTATATTTTTAATATTATATACAGTATAAACTCATAATGGCATTAGTTTCTACTGAGAAGAATTTAGCAGAATGTAGGTCACTTTGACAAACAAAAGGAATTTAGTCAGTAAAGTAGTAAAATGATATTTTTTTGGCCCCAATTACAGTGACCTTACTACAGTGGGATATATAGAAGATGAATGACACTTTTTTCATATATTATTTTTCCCAACTCTCAGGCAAAAACTACAGAAAGAAAATTAATGTCATGTCTTTGTGAATATGTTTGTATATTTCCAAGAGGCTACTTCTCTTCCAGCTTTTCTAATTACCTCTTCCTTTTTTCTTCTATTATTTTAAAACAAGAAAGAATTTAAAAAGGCCCTCACTTACATTAGTGATAGAAAATGAAACCAGTCAGAGGTGACTTTTTAAAAAAAACTTTCAGACATCATCAACCTGAACTCAATTTTAAAATGAATTTGGATGGTAGAGTCAAGAGGATGATAAATCTGTACTCAAAAGCTATTCCATCTACCTCATTATTTATCACCTCCTTTCACTCAATAATATATATACTAAGCCTAAGTTCTCCCTTTCATTCATACTTTATAGTGCTACAATGCTATCTACAAACATAAACTCTAAGAATGACAACAATCATGCTGGAATGAAAATAAATGCAAAACTAATTTGCCACACATCCAGATTAGGATCTCCTTTCACTCTCCTTCAATAATGTGAATGAACAACACAAAAGCAATGTTTTGTGAGTTTGCTTGCTTGCTTTTCAACAGAGTAGTTAAAACATCAGGAAAATTCATCTTTTTAAAAAAAGCATTAGGTGCAGAGAGATGATGGAGCCTTTGTTGGGGTTCAAATCTGACCCCCAAGATGAGGCACACCCAAGGGGCAATGACATAAGAAGGACAAGAGGTGACTCCATCATTGTGTCCTCACTCTTTCTGGTGTGCGGATCTAACAGAATGTTTGTGTCAGAGAATTGTTGTGAGAATTAAATTAAATCTGGCAGGTACTTTAAATCTGCATCCCATTTTTACCTAACTCCCCTTTATCTCCTTCCCTACTCCCATTAGATTTGAGTTGGGTGACTGAAGGCAATGGAATGGAGGTGCTTCTGTCCTCCAAAAGCCACAAGGAATGAAGTAGGGGCGATCAGGCGGTCTGGATGGTTTGATGGCGACAACAGTCAGCGCAGCTTTGGGATACTTTAAGCAGTACTATTGGTTCCTTTTAAAACCCAGAGGCAGGAGAATGAAGACAAACTAACGTGTTATAATCCATCTGTCCTAGCAGCTATTTCTTCCTGACTCACACTCTCCCACTACCCCCACCTCATTACTGGTATCTCTGTTCTCCCACTTCTGTCCTTTTGCCTTCAAAATACTCACCCAAACCGTCACCATCATCATTAACATCCTCAGAAGCTGATATTTGTAGAATAGCAGTGTGTGCCAGACACAGTACAGAATAACGCACCCTCCCACTGGGGAGAACACTGTTCAAATTCTGGGGTACTATAAGCAATGCTTTCAAATAGAGAATCAGAGGGATTTAACAAAATTCTTGAGATCCTGTGACTTTTTTGTGAGTGAAGATGATTTTAGTAGGACTTCTCATCAAAGGTTCTGATCAGAGACACTGGCAACATCATGTGGTATGTATAAAGTAAGAAGAGAAAAGAATTAAGTGGTAATGAAAAAAACAAAGAGATCGTGCTCTTCAGCGTAGGGGCTGCAGGAAGGCAAAGTGACTAGGATTCTTGTTTTGCCCTCTTGGAGCCAGAATTCATTTAACCATCAGTCATCTTTTTTCTTTTCTTTTTTTTTTTTTTTTTTTTTACATAAGCTGAATACTTTACAGAGGATAAAGAAAAGCATTCAGTCAGAGACAATGAGAATGCTACAGAAAATTAAGGACAGGAAATAGAGAAAAAATATGTTTAAGGAATAGACACAGATGTTAGCATGAACAGAGAAAAACATTAATGTTCTCTAGAAAGCAAGAACCACAGAGATGGGAGAGTGCAAAAGGACACAGAGGACCCACGGAGGAGACAACAGAGACGAGCAAGCTAGTGAATAAGGGAAGGCAATGAGGAAGTGACCAGAAAAACAGACAAAATAGTACAGGGAAAAAAGGAAAACCAAGCATGTAAAAGTTGAATGCATCCTAAAGTTTGGGTAGAAGAAATGGTAGTTTTCAATCTGGAGGTTTAGAAAGATAAAGATAAAAGCCCTAGGTATAATGATTCATTTATCTAGCCAAGTGATACCAATATGGGAGAGAGGGGAAAGTACTGCCATTTTGAGGTGACCCAATTTCTCTAGAATAAAGAACTCACAGACAGTGAAGAATTGGAAAGGTCAACTGGGCCAAGGGCCTGACTACAATCTTCTTGGCTCTTCCCAGATCATCAAATCAATTTCCACACAAAGCAAGACAAAGAAACAATGTGATGCAGTGGTGAATCCAAAGGGATCAGTCCACAAAGAGCCACTGCCATACCATTTATTTCTCAATCAGGGAAACACCTGAGCCTATTTTTAGAGTGGTCCTTAATTATCAGGACTATAGTCAACAGGTTGGATAAATGTACCGGCAGAACAATAAGAAATAACGTATTAAGACGAAGAAACTACTCATCACTTCAAAGGAGTGACTTACCAAATACTCACCCATTCCGATTACCTGAGGATTAGCCCTATCCTTTCAGGAGTAGCAATTTATGACATAGGGTATGTTTAGAGAGCAGTATTTTTCTTTTCATTCTCTTCCTTGACAGATAACTTCACCGTCCTTGCCTAACCTGTCATCTCTGGGGCTGGGGCAATTTCTAAAATTTGATCTGCACACTTTGCCCTACTCCTGCCATAATTCAAACTGCCCATTTTTGGTAAGGCAGTAACTTCCAGCTTAAGAGGAAGGTGGAAGGTGAGATAGAAGGATGTACCTGATAAAGCCCTGCACCAAAGGAACTGGTAATCCAACAATGAAGGTAAGACACACATATAAAAATAGAATATCAAGCACAATGGGTTAAGCACATGATAGGAATATTAAAATAAAGAAAAATTATTACTGATTGAGGGAATGGAAAAGCTCACGGAAAAATTTTTTTAACAGGGATTTATAACAACCAATAAGCTGAAGAATTAGGTTAAATTTTTAATTTCACAAAATATATCAATAATGTTTTAGAATCACTTTTTTCTGGCCCTTAATTTAAGTACCAAAAATGAAATTGCTAAGGGAGAAATATTCCTCTTATTGTAAGAAACAATCATTAAACAACTTTTTTTTATATCAACCTAGATGTTTAAGAGTCAATTATAATGATTTGATATGTAATTTTAAACAAAAGTATAGTCACTAATCTAGAGTCTGTCACAAAACAACATATTTTTCATAATGAAGCTTAGCTTACAGAGCAGTAGTACAGGAAAGAAAGCCTTGGTATCTGTACATCAAATGTAGTTGATTATTTGATAGCTCTAATTTCACAGGAATTGAAACTAACTCACTCTGTAAGATGGTTCCTTTTAAATTTATAAAAATCTGCACTTTCACATAAAAAAATGGCAAGCACAGCATGTTTTATAAGTAGTAGGCAAAATTAATTTTAGACTAGATCAGCCATTTGGCCACCAATGAACCAAGCAACATGGAGCTGTGAATAGCTACAACAGTGCAAAAATGGAAAAGAGTGACAAAGATATTTCATAAATACACGTTGTGATTAAGTGTGCAGTTTAAGAAGTATATCACACAGTCGCATGCCCTGTCTCAATGGCAACTTCTCTGTGCTTTGGTTTCCACATCAGTAACATAATGAAACCAACTCCATAAAATACTTTGGGCAATACCTGGCAAAAGGAAGTGCTCAAAAATGTTAGCTACTGCTACTACAACTAACCACTGCCACTACTGTTATTATATGGTAATAGAAGAGAGCGTTGTTTCTGTTCTTATTCCTCCCTGCTGAAATGTCAAGAAGTTAGCTTCCATCAAAAAACGCTGAAGCTTCCCTAAGCACCATACACAGGCAATATTCCTCTTTTTTTTTTTAAGTGAGGAAGCTTGGCCCTGAGCTAACATCTGTACCAGTCTTCCTCTGTTTTGTATGTGGGACGCTGCCACAGCATGGCAGCTTGATGAGCAGTGTGTAGGTCTATGCCCAGGATCCAAACCCATGAATCCCAGGCCACTAAAGCAGAGCACGTGAACTTAACCACTATGCAACCAGGCTGGCCCCCTAATATTCCTTTTAATAGGCATGTCTACTTCCCACAGACTAGCCCAAGTACTGCAAATCTCCCAGTTA